AGCAGCTGCAGCAGAAGCAGCAACAGCTGCTGCGGCTGCTTAGGATAGTGGTGTCTGCGGGCTGCTCAGGAGCACAGACACCGCAGATTGAGCCGCTGCAGCAGAATTCCACATGCATAGCAGCAGCAACAGCAGCAGCAGCAGCAGCAGCAGCAGCATGAGTTTTCCACCCAGCAGCAGGTCCTGCAGCAAGAGCACAGCAGCAGCAGCAGCTGCTGCTGCAGTTGAAGCAGAAGATGTTTCTTTCTGCGCTGCTTGAGGGGCGCAGCCCCGCGGGCCAGCACAAGCAGCAGCTGCAGCAGCAGCTGCAGCAGCAGCTGCAGCATGGCCGCCAGCAGCAGCAGCAGCAGCAGCAGCGGCGACAGCAGAGATGGAAGCCAGACATGCTGAGCCGTTGGCAGTCTGTTGATTCTGCGTTGCTTCGCCCTGCCGCTGCTGCTGCTGCTGCTGCTGCTGCTGCAGCGGGGCCAGCAGCAGCTGCTGCAGCTCATGCTGCAGCAGCAGCAAACCAGTGGGGCCTGGACCAAGGCGTTGGTGCTGCTGTCAAGCAGCATTTGGAGCAGCAGCTGCAGCAGCGCCCCTCTTGGGAAGCAGTGCAGCAGCAAGTCTGCTGCGCCTCGGGGGCCGCTGCAGCAGCAGCAGCAGCAGGTGCTGCTGCTGCTGCTGCTGTGTGTAGCGCTAAGCTGCAGCAGCAGCAGCAGCTAGAAGCCCTCCTGTGCATGATAGAACAGCTTCCAGAAGCAGAAGCAGACGCAGCACGGGAGATGCTGCTGCTGCCGCCCGAGTGCCGCAGCAGCAGCAGCAGCAGCAGCAGCAGCAGCAGCCAACTGACGCACGGGTGCAGCGAGCTGCAGCGGCAGCAGCAGATATCTCAAGAGGCTCTGAATCTGCTGCAGAATCTGACTGTAGGCCAGCAGCAGCAGCAGCAGCAAGAGCAGCAGCAGCAGCAGCAGTCCGTGTCCGAGCTGCTGCAGCAGCTGCAGCAGCAGAAGCAGCAGGTGCAGGAGCAGCTGCAGCAGCTGCTGCTCGACGACTGCAGCAGCAGCATGAACAACGAAGAGCAGCAGCAGCAGCAGCAGCAGCAGAAGCAAGAAGAAGTAGAAGAGGCAGCAGAGTGCATGCAGCAGCTGGGGTTTCTCGTGGGGGAGCTGCAGCAGCTGCAGCAGCAGTGTGCTGCACCACAGCAGGAACAGCAGCAGCAGCAAGGCGACTTGCTGCTGCTGCAGCAGCTACATGCTGCTGCTGATGAGGCACTGCTGCAGCGGAGAAAAGCTCTTTTCCTTGAGCAGCTATCAGTGGCACTTCAGGTTAGCTGCAGCAGCTGCTGCTGCAGCTGCTGCTGCTGCTACTGCTGCTGTTGCTGTTGCTGGGTTGCATTTGCTGCTGCTACTGCTGCTGCTGCTGCTGCTGCTTTTTTGCTGCTGCTGTTGTGTATTGTGCTGCTGCGTGCGCTGCTGCTGGTGTTGGTTTTGCTGCTGCTGCTGCGCTGCTGTTATCCTTTTGCTGCTGCTGTTGCTGCTGCTGCTGCTCTCGTGCGTGCCTTTACAGCTCACCGAAAAAGCAGCAGTCTTGCTGCAGTCATGCGAAGATGCAGCAGCAGCAGCTGCTGCTGCTGCTGCTGCTGCAGAAGGTTCTGGTGGCCTGGAGGGCTTCAGCAGCCAGCAGGCTGCGTTGCTGCTGCTGCTGCAGCAGCTAGGGAAAATCCTTGCTGCTGCTGTGGTGCCCTTCCGCAGCAGCAGCTTCCTGTCTCGGCGGCTGCTGCTGCTGCTGCCGCGCTGCAGGCGGCTGCTGCTGCAGTCCGCCAGCAGCGCTCTGCAGTTCTGCCGCTTTGGCAGTGCTGCTGCTGCTGCTGCTGCTGCTGCTGCTGTTGCTGGCGAGCACGACGCTGCAGAGGACAAAGATGCAGCAGCAGCAGAAGGCGCAGCAGCAGCAGCAGCAGCAGCAACGACAGCAGCACCAATCAAGGAAGAAGACATGCAAAAGGCCAAAGAGCAGCTGCTGCAGGCTCTTGGGGCGTTGCTGCTGCTGCAGCGGCTGCAGCTGCTCTGTGAGACAGTCGAAGCAGCAGCAGCAGCAGCAGCAGCAACAGCAGCAGGGGACCCTACGGAGGCAAGTGCCGCAGACAGCTCCCCAGCTGCTGGCTCTTCAGCCGCAGCAGCAGCAGCAGCAGCAGCAGCAGTGCCGCAGTTCACAGCAGCAGCAGCAGCAGCAGCAGTGGGGGAGCGGGCTGCTGCTGCTGCTTCGCAGCTGCAGCCGCTGCAGCTGTGGGCAGCAGCAGCACTGGCGCAGCCGCTGCTGCTGACTTTTACTTTTCTTTTTATGAGAGATGGAGAGGCCCCGCTGCAGCGGCTGGACAAGCCCCAGTGGGCTGCTGCTGTGCTGCTGCAGCTGCTGCAGCAGCTGCAGCAAGCTGCAGCAGAAGGAGGCGTGCTCGACTGGAGCAGCTGGAAACACAGCAGCAGCAGCAGCAGCAGCAGCAGCAGCAGCGAGCAAGGCCAAGGAGAACGCGGCGTGCTGCAGCTGTCCCCGCAGCTGCAGCAGTGGCTCCTTCTTCCCCCGAGCAGCAGCAGCAGCAGCAACAGCAGCAGCAGCAGCGGGGAGGGTGCAGCTGCAGAAGCTGAGCTGCTGCAGCGCCTTGCTGCTGCAGCAGCAGCAGAGCTAGACCCCACAGTTCTGGTGTCTGTACACCTCGCCAGGGCCTTCAGGCTCTTCCTGCAGCAGCGGCTGCCCTTCCTGGTCTTCCCGCCGCCCCCAGCAGCAGCAGCAGCAGCAGCAGCAGCAGCAGCAGCAGCAGCAAAGCCGCACCCGCCGTTCAGCGCAGGCGCTGCACTCGTGCTGCTGCACCTCGAGCAGCTGCTGCTGCTGCATGCAAACTTCAAAGCCATCAGCAGCAAAGCAGCAGCAGAACTGATGGCAGACGCAGACAGCAACGCCCCAGTCAGGTGTACGTACACCACGCAGCAGCAGCAGCAGCAGCAGCAGCAGCAGCAGGAAGAGGGGGGGGGCGTTTTGTCAGAAGAGGAAGCAGCAGATCTCTGGGAGGAAGACACGTTGCTCAGCAGCAGCAGCAGCAGCAGGAGCAGCAGCAGCGACACAGAATCGCTGCAGCCACACGCAGCAGCACGCAGCAGCAGCAGCAGCAATGGAAACGCAACGGAAGCAGCAGCAGCAGCAGCAGCAGCAGCAGCAGCAGATGTGTCTGCTGCTGAGCTGCTGCAGTCTGCAGAGCCCCTCTGCCTCCCCTTCGGCCCCTGGGGCAGCCCTGTCACCCCCAGCCAGCAGCAGCAGCAGCAGCAGCAGCAACAGCAGCAGCAGCAGCAGCAGCAGCAGCAGCAGCAGCAGCAGGGCTGTGTGGGCCTTTTGGACTACTGGATTAGCCTAGATGCTGCTTTTATGCAGAAAGAGCTGCAGCAGCAAACTGCAGCAGCAGCAGCAATTAAGCCCGTGGAAGCAGCACCGCACTTAAGGTGCTGTTTTCTTATTTTTAATTTGATTTTATTTATTTATTTAACAAATAAATAAATAAATAAATGAATAAATAAATAAATAAATAAATAAATAAATATATTCATTTATTTATTTATTAATTTCATTATTTATTTATTTATTTATAATTGAAATGCTGCGGGTTTCTTCTTTGAAAAAGTGATTTTTAAAATTTGATTTTATTTTTATTTATTTTTATTTCTTTTATTAATACCTTTAATTTATTTTTTTAATTTTATTTATTCATTTTGTTTTTACTTTCTTTTTAATTCTTTTTAATCCTTTTTAATTCTTTTAAAAACTTTTTAAATTCTTTTTTAATCCTTTTAAGTTCTTTTTTAAATCTTTTTGATTCTTCAATTGTTTTAAATTCTTCTTAAATTCTTTCAAGTTTTTTTAAAATTCTTTTTTAATTCTTTTTAATTCGTTTACAATTCTTTTTAATTCATTTAAATTTACTTAAATCCATTTTAATTTATTTTAATTCATTTTAATCATTTTTCAATTCTTTTTAATTCTTTTAATTCATTTAACTCGTTTTAATTCTTTTTTAATAATTTGAAACTCTTTTTTATTCTTTCAAATTCATTCTGATTCATTTCAACGCCTTTTTAGTTCTTTTTTGGTTCTTTTTAGTTCATTTTAATTCCTTTTAATTCCTTTTTAATTCTTTTTTAATTATTTTAAATCCTTTTTCATTCTTTTTAATTCTTTTTTACTCCTTTTTATTCCTTTTTATTCCTTTTTATTCTTTTTTTTCTTTTTTATTCTTTTTTATTCTTTTTTTTCAGCGTTTTAGGTCAAGTTTTGGACTTTCTTCTTTGCGCAGCTTTTCAGCGCATGTCCGCTTTGAGTGTACAGACAGCTGCGGACCACTACTGCGGTAATTCAATTTAATTCATTTTATTTATTTATTTATTTATTAATTTAATTTAATTCAGTTTGTTTTTTATTTATTTATTTATTTTATTAATTCAGTTAGTTTATTATTTAATATAATTAATTTGATTAATTTAATTAATTTAATTTAATTTTTAATTCGATTTAATTAATTTAATTTAATTAAATCAATTCAATTACTTTAATTAAATTAATTAATTAATTGATCAAATTTATTAATTTAATTTAATTTAATTTAATTAATTCAATTAATTTTAATTTGTTAATTTAATTAATTTAATTTAATTTAATTTGATTTAATTTGATTTAATTAACTTGATTTAGTTTGATGTCATTTAATTTAATTTAATTTAATTAATTTCATGTAATCAGTTTAGTTTTTCACTTGTTCTTTTTTTACATGTTTGTTTTTCGTCTTTTTGTTTCCTTTTTTCAGTTTGACTTCTTTATTTATTTACTTTTAAATTTATTTCTAATTTATTTATTTATTTATTTATATTTATTTATTTATTTATTTTTCTATTTGTATTTATTTATTTATTTATGTTTTGTGGCTTTTGTCTTTTGGATTTGGTGCTGAGACTCGCGAGTCTCTTTTATTTATTTTTAAATTAAAAATTTTAAATTAATTAAAATTTTCAATTATTTCAATTAATTTATTTCCCTTTATTTCAGTTTTTAATTTTTAATTCGAGCTGCTGCTGCTGCTGCTGCTATTGCTGCTGCTGCTGCTGCTGCTGCTATTGCTGCTGCTACTGCTGCCAACTCCTGCCGCTGCTGCTCCTACCGCTGCTGCTGCTACTGCTGCTCCCCCTCCTACCGCTTCTGCTGCCACTGCTGCTGCTGCTGCTGCTGCTGCTGCTGCTGCTGCTGCTGCTGCTGCTGCTGCTGCTGCTCAGAAGGCGTGATAGCTCCGGCTTTGCGTCTTTTTGCAAAAGAGACAAAAAGTCAATTTGGAGTTCTTTTCTCTCCTTTGGAGTGTCTAGACACCTGCGCCTTGCTGCTGGAGTCTCTTTGCTGCACCCAAACCCTAATGCAGCGGTTCCACTTCGCGCAGAGACTCCCCACAGTAAACCCTAAACCCTAAACCCTAAACCCTAAACCCTAGCGCTAAGCCCTAGGCTTGGAGCTGCTAAGATTAGACCCTGGCGGCAGGGCCTAGGTCTCAGGGGCTGTCGTTCACGCGCTAGGGTTTAGGGTTTAGGGTTTGGGGTTTAGGGTTTAGGGTTTAGGGTTTGGGGTTTAGGGTTTAGGGTTGGGGTTTAGGGTTTGTGGTCTCAGCTGTATAGACAGCTCCTGGACTTGGAGCGCCTGATGATGCAGCATTTGTGCGAAGAAGTGAAGGAGAAATTGGAGGTAGGGTTTAGGGTTTAGGGTTTAGGGTTTAGGGTTTAGGGTTTACGGTTTAGGGTTTAGGGTTTAGGGTTTAGGGTTTAGCTGCTTTCCTTGCTGCATTTCGAATTTGTTTATTGTCGCTGCAATCTCAGCATGAATGCATTAATTAATATACTTATATTTATTTATTTGTATTTACTCATTTATTTATTTTTATTTATTTGTACTTATTTTTTATTTTTATTTATTTATTTATTTATTTATTTATTTATTTATTTTTATTTTCTTTTTGTGCTGCAGTGCACCCCTCAGGAGTCCTTCCCCGAATTTATTTCTTCTTTTGCTCGTCAGCAGATAAATAAATAAAATAAATAAAAATAAATAAAAATAAATAAATAATTAAATAAATAAAAATAACTAAATAAATAAATAAAAGTAAATAAATAAATGAGAATAAATAAATAAATAATAAATGACTTGTTGGATTCTGGCTAATGCGTTTTTAATTTTTTGTCTCTTTTAATTTTTTTAATATTTGTAATCTTTTTAATTTTTTATTCTTTTTAATCCTTTTAGTTCTTTTAAATCTCTTTTTGTCTCTCTTATCTTCTTTTGCTTCTTTTAAAGTTGTCTCTTTGGGTTGGTTTGCTGCTGCTGCTGCTGCAGCAGCAGCAGCAGCATTTCGGCGGCCCCGTGCTGCTGCGCTGCAGCAGCAAGTGTACGTACACCTGGAGCAGCAGCTGCGGCGGCAGCTGAAATCTTTTGCTGCTTCTTCTTCGAAGCAAAAGAGCAGCAATTTAATTCTCCAAAACATTATCTGCCAAAGGCAAGCAGCAGCAGCAGCAGCAGCAGCAGCAACAGCGGCAGCAGCTGCAGCAGCAGCAGCAGCGGCAGCAGCAGCAGCAGCGGCAGCTTGAGATTCAGTGGCAGTGCAACGCAAGCAGCAGCAGCAGCATCAGACGAAACAGCAGCACAGCCAATACAGCAGCAGCAGCAGCAGCAGCATCAGCAGCAGCAGCAGAGTGTACGTGTTGTGCTGCTGCTGTCTCTTTTTGTGCTGCAGCAAAGAGACAGTGCAGCAGCTAAAGGCTGCGTTTCACTTGCAGACACTTAAAGATGAAATGCCCCTCACATTCGTGAGCTGCTGCTGCTGCTGCTGCTGCTGCTGCTGCTACTGTTGATTCTGCTGCTGCCGATACTGCTGCTGCTGGTGACACTGCTGCTGCTGCTTCTGCTGCAGCTAGAGCTACTGCTGCTGCGGCTGCGGGTCGCTGCTGCTGCTGCTGCGTCTTTTCTAGCTGTCTGCTGCTGCTGCTGTTGCTGCTGCTGCTTTTCAGTCTTTGCTGCAGCTCTTTCCTGAGTCGGGGGAGAAGCTGAAGCAGCACCTGCTGCTGCTGCAGCAGGTGCAGCAGCAGCTGCAACACCACGTGCAGCAGCAAGGCAATGCTGCTGCTGCTGCTGCTGCTGCATTCAGCAACACGCTAAGGTAATGCTCATCTCTGCTGCAGGAGCTGCTGCTGCAGCAGGAGCTGCTGCTGTAGGAGCTGCTACTGCAGCAGCAGCTTCTGCTGCTGCTGCAGCAGCAGAATGAGCAGCAGCAGCAGCAGGGTATTGTGTGCATTTCTGCCTCAGGTCGGTGCAGCAAGCAGCAGCTGTCTGGAAGCCACGCGCCAGCCTAGAGCAGCAGCAGCAGCAGCAGCAGCAGCAGCAGCAGCAGCAGCTAGAGGACCGGGGCGTATCAGAAGCAGTCAAGAAGTTCTGCAATGTGATGCAGGTGAGAGATCAATAAGGGTTTAGGGTTTAGGGTTTAGGGTTTACTGCCGCTGCTTCAGAAATACTTTCGCTGCTGCTGCTGCTGCTGCTGCTGCAGCTCCCTCTCCTACCTCCTGCTGACGCTTTGCTGCTCGTCAATTTGCTGCTGGACCCTTCAGTGCAGCAGCAGCAGCAGCAGCAGCAGCAGCAGCACAAGCAGCACCACAAGCAGCGGCATCGCTGAGCTGCTGTAGCCAAGGTTTCTACCAGAGGCGTTTGCTGCTGCTGCTGCTGCTGCTGCTGCTGCTGCTGCTGCTGTTGCTGCTGCACATTTGTGGCTGCTGGATTGATGCCTTCTCGGCGGCAAGCAGCAGCAACAGCAGCAGCAACAGCAGCAGCAACAGCAGCAACAGCAGCAGCAGCAACAGAAGCAAGACTACAATCTTAAGAATGCTTTTGTTACTGCTGCTGCTGCCGCTGCTACTGCAGCAGACACGAGGTCTCCGCTGCAGCAGCAGCCATGCTGCTGCTGCAGCAGCACAGCTGCAGCTGCACAGCTGCTGCGGAGCTGCTGCTGCAGCTGCACGACTGCTGCTGCACAGCTGCTGCTGTGCAGCAGCAGCAGCAGCAGCAGCTGCTGCTGCTGCTGCTGCTGAAGTCAGGAGAAAAGCAGAAGCAATGGACAAGTAGTGCACAAATGGAGAAGTTTCTGTTTAAATTGATATTATTTGTTTTTAATTAATTAAATTAATTAATTAATTAATTAATTTCCAATTTATTGATTTTTGATTTATTTATTTTTATTTAATTTATTTTCAATTAATTTATTTTTGACTTATTTATTTTTAATTTGGTTTAACAAATCCAAAGTACAACTAATTGTTTTTTAAATTAAATCTTTTCATGAATTAAATTTTTAATGAAATTAAAATTAACGCTTTTAATGCAATTTAATCTTTTAATAAAATTAAATTAAATCCCTTTTTTAAATTGAATCCTTAAGTGGAATTAAATTCTTTAATGGAATAAAATTAAAAAATTAATGAAGTCTTTTAACGCAATTAAATCTCCAAATGGAATTAAAATTAAAAAAAATAAAAAAGTCTTTTAATGCAATTAAAAAGATATTCGAATAAATAAATGTGCAAACTTTCCCCATTTTGCAATTTCCAAAATCCAGAAAAGTTCTTTTTTGTTGAGGTTCGGGGCCCCCCAAGAGGTCCCCCAAGGGGCCCCCAAGGGGCCCCCCAAGGGGCCCCCCAAGGGGGCCCCCAAGGGGCCCCCAAAGGGCCCCCCAAGGGGCCCCCCAAGGGGGCCCCCAAGGGGCCCCCCAAGAGGCCCTCCAAGGGGACCCCCATAGGGCCCCCCATGGGGCCCCCCAAGGGACCCCCCAAGGGGGCCCCCCACGGGGCCCCCCAGGGGGCCCACCAAGGGGCCCCCCAAGGGGCCCCCCAAGGGGCCCCCCAAGGGGCCCCCCAAGGTGCCCCTAAAGGCCGGATTTATTTCATGAGGAGTTGCGGAAAATGTGTCGAAAGAAATGCAAGTTTGTGGAAAAGTGTGTGGAGATTTGATGGGAGTTTTGGCGCATGCAGGGGGGGGGTTTGGGGAGTGGAAAAGGCGGAATTGAAATAAAAAATGAAAAGTTGAATTAAAAAAAAGACCACTGGAGGACCAGTGGTCCACAGAGAGCTGGGGGGAGCGGTGAGAAGGCCCTTAGGGGTTTAAATCGAAGAGAGAAGTTCAGGTTGTGCAACTTGAGCGATGGGGGCGTGGGGCGACAAAAGAGGGCCAAATGGAGGGGAAAAGGACTAAAAAAGAAGGCAAATAAGCAGGAAATATTAAAAATAGTTCAAAAGAAATAACTGCTGCAGCAACAGCGAAGAAAAAAGAGAAAAAAACGGAGAAGTCCGTTTGAACGGGGTGTACAGACAGCTGGAAGCGGGGGGCAGCCCGCGCGCGCCTCGCGGGGCCCCCGGAAGCTTAATTAGTTTTATTTAAATTTGAAATTGGGAAATAAAAGAAATTAAAGAGAATAAAATAGTTATTGAGTTAAAAAGGAGGCGTTTAGGGGGCTGTGCTGCTGCGGCGGCGAGCCGGCAGCGGCAGCAGAAGAGCCGCGTCGATTGCGGATCTCGAAAAGGCAAAAGGGGAGGAAAACTGGCGCGAAAACTGGAGAAATAAAAGTAAAAAAATAAATAAAAGGAATTAAAAGATTTAGGGGTTTTTATTTTTGTCTTTTTGCACTCCGTTTTGCCGTTTGAGGGGAGCAGGCGCAGCAGCCCCACGCCAGCTGGGCCCCGGAACTTCTTCGATTTTCGCCGCCAAAACTCCTTTAAAAACACTTTTTGCGCTCTTTTCCATTTCCATTTCAAAAAATAAATACCATTTGAGCTTCTTGCGGCTCTTTTCCGCGTTTTTTGGCCCCTTTTGCTTCCCGCTGCTGCTGCTGCTGCTGCTGCTGCAGCGCCCGTCGATGCTCCAGGTGTACATACACCTGAAATACGCAGCAGCTTCCTTCCTTCGCACT